CATCTCCAGATATAAACTAATTTGATTTTTTCATGAAATTTAATGTAGTTATATCTTCTTTATGTTCATTTAATTTTTGAATTAATTTCATCATTCCTTTATTGAATTCATATACATTTATTTATTATTTACATCCAGCTATTACAATTGAACAATCTTTATTAAATGCTATAGCCTAACACCATTAATCTTATTTAATAGAATAATCTTACATTAATTAATAATTAAATGGTTTTATATTTGTTTAAGATTAAGATATAATTTATGATTATTTTAATTATTTTAATTATAATGATTATGAATTTATTATTATTTTAGAATTTATTAAAGGTATTAATTCTTAAACTATATTTGATTAAAATTCTTATTAATCAATTAAATTGAATTATTTTATATTTGGTAATTATAATTCTTAATTTGATTCCTTAATCTTAATAATTGGATAATCAATATTAAATATTTAATCTATGAAATTGTTAATTTTATCAAAAGAACACTAAAATTATTAAAATAATATAATAAATACATCTAAATGTTTCTCTATTTCTTTTATATTACATTCTACTTAATTTTATATCATTTTTCTTATTGACATTTTTTTTAATTCTATTAATATTATTAAATTAATATTTCTATTTTTTAATTTCTATTTAATATGCATTTTAATACGTCAGAAAAAAAAATGTGAATAAATTTGTAATTGAATAAGAATTATAAAAAGAAGGCTAAGTTTATTAATTCTATCTTATTAAGTTATAATTCCTTCAACTTTAAATTACTTTACTTAGTTTTAAGTATTTTGTAGGATAAAAATAATAATTTAAAGATATATAATGAATTATTTGAATACTATTAGATTTATGATTATTCTCAATTTATTTTTTTTTTAAATTTCAAACCATAGTTATTTATTTAAAATAACATTTGATTTTCGAAGATATATATGAAAATAAATTTATGAAAAACAAAGTCTTTATATCTTCATATTGCTAATGTTATCGTAAAATGAATTTATTTTATTCCAATGACATGATTATTTTAGTAAACTCTTTAAATTGTAATAATTTGTACCTAAAATGTATCTTTAATATTTTCAATACATTGACCTGAAATATCATGATAATTTAAATAATCTCAAAATATTTCACTAGATGTTGTAATTAACCCTTTTTATTAAATTGACTAATTATCATATTCTTTTTACCAATTAAGATAAATATTTCGTTTTAACTTTTAGAAAAGAATTTAAAAAATAATTTAAATTTTAACTATTTTGTTATCGTTTAATATACCCTAAGAGTAACTCAAAAGAAAAAAATCAAAGTCTCATTATTCTCTATTTGAAAACAAAATTATATTAACCTTCTTCATTATAATTTTAACCAATTTGATATTCTAAAAGCTATATCATATTCAATATAGTTAATTATATATTTTGTTTGAATTTGCGCTTCTTTTACTTATATTCTACTCCATAGCTTACTGATAATACGATATGAATTAAAGTATTTACAAAAAAGTTTTAATTTACATTTTTATGCATCAACTATTGATTCTAAATGTAATAAATTGAAATTGAAGATTAAGAATGGCTATTTTATTATATTAATTAATAGCTCAAAAAGGAAAACTATTTTTAATCAAGAAAGTATACATCATAAGATTGAGCGGATTTGGATGATTACATTCACAAGAATTGAATTCGTATCTAATAAATATTTCAAAGTAAGTAGTTATTTTAAAATAAAATAGACTTATTGATATTACGGATTTTTTGTTTTTACTACAATAAATATCAACATTTTTATAATTAATAGTCAAATTTATATCAAACTGATGATAAAATTACTTAATAATTTTAAAATATTTATGATTGATATATATTGAATATAATAATTTTCATTGTTCTATACATTTTCTAATTTATATTTCTTCAGATGATCTATCCCAAATAATTAAATAGTCTCCATTGTCACTCATTTACCCATATATTAATTTTTCACCAAATTAAATAGATTACTCAACTTTAAATTGATTATTTTGTGTTTTTCTTATTAAATTGATATAATAACCATGTTTAACCACAAGTAATTATTTCTATTTAATATATTATTATGGGAATAAAGCATAAAAATCATCTCCTTAATTGACAGTAATATCTTTAGTTTTAGTGAACTATTTATTACCACTATCCATCTCATAAACATACATTAAATTGCCATCACAAGGTTGAAATGTAAATAGATTATCATCAATAAAACATATTCGAGATCCATAACAATCAACTTTGATAGTTTATAATATAATCCATTTTTTCTAATATTCTGAATATTCTATTATTAATATTTATTTATCATATCCACATGAAATAACTTAATTTTATTATTCATTTAAACTTAATTAATAAACACTACTAGTATGATTATTGATTGTTTATTAACAGATCCATTCTTGTTGTTTAATCCAAAACTTTATACATTTATCATTACTACTTGATATAAAAAGATCTTCATTATTATTCATAATTAAACATTAAATCCAATTTGTATGTCCATTAATTTTTTATGAACAATTCCACTAATTATTATTATATGACCAAATCATAATAGATCCAGATTTATCTCCAGATATAAATTAATTTGATTTTTTCATGAAATTTAATGTA